ATCTAGTAGCTCTAACTCAGTTGAATGCATGTTCCTTTTGATTCTTGAGAAGAACGAGAAGAACCACGCATTAACTTTAAAGCCTCCGCTACAATGATTCTCGGTTCTGTCTACAATGGTCGTAGTCGTAAGAATAATCGACTGCGATTGGTCAATTTCGTCAGACACATAAGAATTGACCAATCATAGTCATCGACTATTCTTACGACTACGACTTTCGACTTCTATGTAGACAAGGCTTTAGGGATTATATCTCGGAAACTATACGGCAAATTAAACCCAAATTTTACACACATACGTATTGATATCTAAATTAGTTTTGCTGCGAGTTTAAAGGAAATCTGTAACTTCGTCATTTTTGGCCTAACGCACCTTAAGTCCCAGTCTACAATAGAGATTTAAGCCCTAAGCCTTAAGAAATTGACTAATCACAGTCGCGCATTTTTCTCATACTTGACCGTGATTGGCCAATTTCTTAAAGCTTAGGGCTTAAATCATCTATTGTAGACTGGGACTTAAAGACCAAAAAAAAAAAACTCCGAAATCCCCTCCATCTTTCTGAGAGAGAAACAATGCTCGACCATTAGCACAATCGTGCCGCCATCTTGCAAGCGGGGTTATCGCTTCTGGTCAACCTCGCGATCCCTGCATCCCGACGTCGGGCACGGTGTTTTGCAAGTTTCCGAACGGCGGTCTTGGATTCTGGTCCTGTGTCTCTTCCGGACAGACTCCAGGTTCTCCCGGAGCTCCTCTGCCGAGTCTGTCCTTGGCGACGCGCATCGTCGCCCGCGGGCGAGGAGATCAGCGACGCCAAGTTGGCGGCACTGTGATATTCGCCGAGCGATCGTGCTGCTTGTCAACTCGAGTCTATTCTGTCGATTGGATTGGAGCTGATTAGCGAGGGGCTAACGCTTGATTTTTCGCCACGGTTTAGACTCGAAGAGGAGGAAGCCGAGTACTCCGTGACTCTGAGCGATCCGTCCCGGAGACGAGCCGAGCGTCATGGACGACTTACAGAACTACAAGCTGCAGCTCCAGCAGGTGAGTCCCGTCTTTTTCTCCTCTCTTTAACTCCTCGCGACGACGATCGATCGGACACGACGGTCGACGTTTGTCCGCCTACGGACACCTCCACGTCTCACCGCGGGACTCCTCTGCTTTTCAGGTGGAAGCGGCTCTTACGACAGATCCGAATAACGAGGAGCTGATAAAGCTGAAGTTCGATCTGAAGGAAGTAATAAAGCTGACACATGATTTAATTAAGTCACAACAGCAGGAAAAAAGACAAGCCAATGGCATGGACGCTAAAGATCCTATTTTGCTTGCAGTTCTGGTCAATAAGTGGAAAGTCGGCGATCAGTGTATGGCACCTTGGAGCGAGGACGGCAAGTGAGTGCCACTCGCGTCGGTTAAGCCTCGCGTCCACGGTACTGGAGATCGGTCCAAGATCTCGAGAAATATGTAGCCGGTCGACTTGCATCCTTTACAGAGAAGCTGCAGTTGATTGGCTATACATTTCTTGGGTCGAGATCTCGGACCAATTTCTAGCAATGTGGACATAGGCCTTTAGAGCCTTGGAAGCCTTGTGTCCACGATGCTGGAACTTGGTCAAAGGTCTAGTTCCGAGAAATGTGTGGTCAATCAACTTGCAGCTTTTGTGAAGTATTTCTAGAACCTGGACCAAATTCTAGCATAGTGGATGCAGGCCTTAAGGCAAGTTGATTGGCTACACATTTCTCAAATCTAGCATCGTGGACGCAAGGCTTTATACTGTTTGCAATTCGAATCGTATGTCGATTGAATTGCGTGACAATGATGTAATTCTGTTGCATGTTATTCTCTGTTCAATAAGCTTGCTTTCTGTCCCTACATTGGTGAACTAGTACAACAAATTAGATTAAGACAAGCGTATTTTTTCTCACTCTAGCCTACTGCACTAGTTCATCAGTGCAAGAACAGAAAACAAACCCAATATGTAGCGCTATGTCTGTATGGAATAACCGGAAGCTGAATGTTTTATCCGAGTCGTTATTAAAATCTCAAACACATGGTTGTAATATGAAGGCTATGATGAAATTATTTGTGGCAAAAACTACGGTCAATCAGTGAAGCCTCGGCTACATAGAAGTTGTAAAGTCGTAGTCGTAAGAATAGTCGACTATGATTGGTCAATTCTTATGTGTTTGACGAAATTGACTAATCGCAGTCGATTATTCTTACGACTATGACTCTGCAACTCGCATTGTACACCACGCAAAAGGATTTTGGCAATTTTATCTATTTGCTTTATTAGCAGTAACGGCTTCCGGGTGGTTTATTTGCTCCATTTGCTGGAGTGTCCATATAACATTTTCTAATATTACGCTTTGCAAACTTTTGCAGGTATTACGAAGCAACTATAGACACGATAGGCGAGGATGGAGTAGTAAATGTAACGTTCCATGAATACAAAAACACCGACGTCACTATGCTCAGTCAGCTGAAGTCCGTTGCTAAGAGGCCGGCGTCGGATTGGGCGGATCAGAAATCAAAGTAAGCCATTTCTGTCTCGTCCACAGCCGCGCACTCGTTGTGTGAACCAATGTGAAATATTCCTTGTATGATTGCGCACGTGTCTGAGAAAACGCGAAGGTGTGAATGCGAGGTGACGAAATTACTAATCATTGATTTTTCCTCCCTATCTCATTTCTGAATTGGCAACAATAACTCCGTCGTTGGTATTCCGTCTGAAATATGCTCGTTATTCGTTCGTTTGTCCTTCGATGCCGCGCGGTCCGTGTGCGTCGTCGGGGTCCAGGAAAAGGTAACAAGACTTGTCCGATTCTCTGGTATCATATGTTTGAAAAGCAAATCGATAAATAATGTATATCTGTAAGACAATATCGACAAGTTCTAATCGCATTCTCTGCAATCACTAAATGGTACAACAAGATAACGCATATGTTAGTTTGCTCTTTTTTGACGTCAAAGTAAATGCGCCAATTCCCAATTATAAATGATTTGTACGCACAGAGATATGTTAACATTTATACTCGTCGACATGCATATACTAATGTAAGAATGTAGAAGTAACGTTTTGTTTTGTTATTATTACTCGGCGTGCGTTAAAAATTGTGCCGTCTCCGTTTATTCATCCAGACGATGGGATTAATTTATTTTCAGAAAAATGCAAGCAGCCACAGTCGCAGGTTCGGATCCAAACAAGCAAAGGGAGTATCTTAAGAAGAAGAAGCAAAGGAAATTGCAGCGATTCAAAGAGCTGGAGGAGGAGCGCGAGCTGGAGAAGAACAAGTGGCTAGCATTTACCAACAAGGTGAGCAACAAGGTTCTATCATATACGGTGTCAGTTTGTCTTCGGAGTGTATTTAGAGCTCGTCTTTCATATTACAACGTTTTCCCGCAGTCGTCAAAGAAAGGAGTCATAAAGAAGAGCATCTTCGCGACGCCGGAGAACGTGAATGGCCGCGTGGGGATCGGCACCTGCGGCGTCAGCGGTCGGGAGATGACCAAGTTCAGTAACGGCGAGAAATGGAGGCGGGGAGCTTAAATAACTTATATGTAAATAAATAGATAATACTATAACTTGGTGGAAGAGGTAGCGAGTTATCGTGAAATTATTGTTATATTATATCAAAGACTGGTCCACGAGTTCTGCGGCACGTGGGTGGAACGAACGTATAAGTACGAGAACACATGTCATGTGGGATTACAGACAGCTTCGAAAAGTGGAGTGGCAGATAAAATACCTTCTCCTAACAACGCTAATCGTACCGAGGCGATTTCGAATTTTTTACCGTAACACGATTCAAGAGGTAACCGCAGCGAATAAATGTGTTTTTAGGTTAATATTTCCGCGTGAGCATAACTTGTTTACAATCTCATTGATACGAATAAATGTATATTTTAACGTGCAGCTTCTTTGAAGGTATTTTTATCTCTAAGACAGCGAGTGGATGTTACAGAATGTACTCTTACAGAAAAGTTGAAGGTCGATCGATTAAATACCATTCGAACAGCCAGTCAGCTTGCAACTTTTCTGTAAGAGCGGAGTTTTCGCATAAATTTCTCCTTCGAGTGAATTCAAGAATCGAGCCCCGGGGGTTCGCTGCTTGAATTTATTCAAAAGAGAAACGTATGCGAAAATTCTGCGTTTACGGAAAAAGTTGTAAGTTAATTCGACTATTCGCATAGCTTTTAGCCAATCGACTTGCAACTTTTCTATAAGAATTGTAGAACTTTTGCATGCGTTTTATTTTTCGAGGCTCGAGCCCTTGGAGTTCGATTCTTGAATTTATTCAAAAGAGAAAGTGTGCGAAAACTGCTCTCGCAGAAAAGTTGGAAGTCGATTGGTTAAAACCCGTGCGAATAGCCAATCAACTTGCAATTTTTCTATAAGAGCGGAATTTGCGCATACGTTTCTTCTTCGAATGAATTCAAGGATCAAGTCCCAGATCCTAAAAGCCAGTGTCCACGATGCTAGAACAACTTGGTCCAATTGTAAGTTCTAGTTTTGAGAAATATGTATAAACTACAATCAACTTGCAGCTTGCGTGCTCTCATGGGCCGCGTTCAGCAGGCACAACTGTTGAGTGAGCGCTCAATGATTTCTTAACATGATTGGCTGGATCTGAAAGTATTAACCAATCATACTGAGCGCTCACTCAACAGTTGTGTCTGCTGAACGCGGCCATTCGCTTGTTTGTAAGCGCTCGCTCAGCAGACAACTGTTGAGTGAGCGCTCAGTACGGATTGGTTAATACTTTTAGATCCAGCCAATCATGTTAAGTTATAGCCACGTTCAGCAGGCACAACTGTTGAGTGAGCGCTCAGTATGATTGGCTAATACTTTTAGATCCAGCCAATCATGTTAAGAAATCATTGAGCGCTCACTCAACAGTCGTGTCTGCTGAACGCGGCCAATGATTGAGCGCTCGCTCAACAGTTGTGTCTGCCGAACGCGGCCAATATGATTGGCTGGATCTAAAAATATTAACCAATCATACTGAGCGCTCACTCAACGGCAGTGTCTGCTGAACGCGGCCATTTTCTCTCCTCAAATTCAACTGTGATTGGTCGGTTTCGTGCGACTTAAAGGCCTGCTACGTCCATTGTAGATCCGACCATACAAGTGTCAGGGGACTCAAAATGTCTCCTCTCGCCGAATCACGCGTTATCAGCGAGCGATAGGTATCGTGAGAAAAATGCGGACTCAGCGTCTCGATAAGGCGAGGAAACGACTCTTGTGCGCGGAGCACCAGCCGCTTATCGCGCAGCGTTAAGGATATCTCGTCGCTTCGTAGACCTCGCGTTCTAACCTGTACGCGTCGCCGTCGCAAGAAGGTAGAGAGATCTCTGTGACAAGTCATGTCGTACGAACCCAGAGAGGCTTCGTAACGACATCCACTTGAGCGAGGCTCATGTCAACGAGCGGTAACTGATCTTGTTTTGTACTGGCTTACGCGCGCCCTCGCGCAGAGAGAAGATATGGGCTCGAACGAGGCGAACAGACTGCCGAACGGCGACGTTCGGGTGCACAGAGACGTCGATTGGGCCAGATACGGTTTGCGCGAGCCGGAGGAGGCGCGGGAGAACGCAAAGGGCGACAGCGGGGACGGCGACAATGCCCTCGGGCCGGAAATGTACCAGGCCGGTGCGAACGAGCTGTTCGCCCAGGAATACGTAAGGAATACACGTGTGATGCGCGAGCCACCAGCCGTCTCAGTACTACAGTACCGTCCACTTGAAAGAATTCAATTCGTTATTCCACCTTTAACACTTGCAATTCGACTAACTCTGGTGATACGATTGCCAGGCGTCTCTTACCATGTTTATTAGGATCGTCAAGGACTATTTCAAGTTCCCCCCTCGCTTTCTTGCCAAGAACCTTCATATATTGCATGTTTTTTCCCCACAGAGCTCAGATCCTTGGTGGAAGTCAAACTTCTTCATCTCCCAACCCGTGCTGTTTGGCACCTGGGACGGGGTCTTTACGTCTTGCCTTATTAACATATTCGGTGTGATCGTATTTCTGAGATCTGGCTGGATAGTTGGTCAAGCGGGCGTTTTGAACGCAGTGCTGATCATCTTTTGTACAGGTAATGTTGTGGGATGTCATAACCGAGGCCCAGTCTGCGATGAGTTGTTAGTCAGAAGTCGGAACTATGTGTCACCCCATTTTCTTTCATCCAGAAAGAGAGAGGTTCGACATATAGTTCCGACTTCTGACTGACAGCTCAATTGTAGATCGTGCCCGATGAATTTCTTGTTACTCAGGAGATGGACGGTGCTTTCCTTAGAAACAAAAACCGTTCTCACTTCTGTAAATGTACACTTAAAGCATTCGCTCGTGAAAGGACGTATTTTGCGAAAGGTACACTTGGCGCGAGACTCTTGGTGCTTTCCATTTACTGATGCAAGTTGACGCGAGTATCATTTTATCCTCGTTGCTCACTGGATGTTGAGAAAAGACAGACTAGCGTACGTCGACTTGTGTGCGCCAAGTGTATCCTTTACAGAAGTGAGAACGGTGTTTTTTTTTCCTAGGAATAAACCTCGTTCTTTTGAAATAAGTCAATGTTATCGAGAGATAGACGTTGGGGATCACAATGTTCCGTAATGATTTCAGTGTGTATCGCATTGGTGACAGTACTGTCGGCCGTTGGCATATGCGAACGGAGCAGAGTCGAAAGCGGCGGAGTGTACTTTTTGTTGTCGCACGTGCTGGGCTCCAGATTCGGTGGCTCCATCGGGCTGCTTTACTGCTTCGGGCAGGTAGAAACGAGTGGATTCATCCTTCCGTTTTTTTTTCACCGGCTATTCCAAAAGAATCGGTTTGTGGATTTTATTTCAGGCGGTGGGTTGTGCTCTAAACGTTTTAGGTTTTGGGGAATCGATGGCCGGCCTCGTAGGCCTGGACTCGGCGTGGGCGCAACGCGGCTTCGCGTGCGCCGCCGTTGTGCTATTGTCCGTAATTAACGTGGCTGGCGTTAAGTGGGTTGTAAAATTGCAATTTATTCTCCTTCTGATCCTACTACTCGCCGGGGTTGACTTCATGGTTGGAAGTTTCACTCATACCAACATCGGTGAGATGATACAGCGGAAACGCGTCACAAAAGCGCGTATCTTACGACGCGGAATTGCACAGAGTGTCGCTGCGTCTTAAGTTAGGTGCCTAAGGTTCTCATTTATGTGCGCAGATTCTGGATTTGAAGGCTGGCTGTCGGGAAACTTGAGAAACAACACCTTCCCCGATTATCAGGACGGCTATAGCTGGTTCACCGTGTTCGGTGTATTCTTTCCAACGGTCACCGGTGTCTTGGCTGGAATTAATATGAGCGGGGATTTGAGGCATCCGTCTAGCGACATTCCCAACGGCACGTTGGCGGCGTTAGGAACCGGGTAGGACGAATCGTTTCCGATGCGAGAGCATCTCAGCAACCTTTTGATCATTACGTTAACACGATTGTTACTTGCAGAACGTTTTTGTATCTGTGCTTTTCGTTGACTCTCGCGGCAACGTGCGTCAGAAACGCGTTGCTCACCAACTTTACAATAGCGTCGACGGTATCGGCGATCTCGGTGTTGCTACTCGCTGGTCTTTACGTGTCGTCGTTCAGCAGCTGTTTGGGTGCCATGTACGGCACGCCTCGTGTTCTCCAGTCTATCGCCAGTCAAAATGTCATACCAGGAATGAGCTGCTTGCAAAGAGGGGTAATTATTGAATATTATTTTGGTCGGAATAGTTGGAGTACTATTGCAACAGCATATTCTTGACACCAAATCCAAGTCGAAAGTCCTGTATCATTTTTCCTCACGATAAACAGTTATCGAGATATCGTACGATGATTATTGAAAAAGTTGCCAAGTTTTCTTTGAACATCTCAAAAAATATTAGACATAAAAAAATGTTTCAGACAAAAGTTGTTCTAATTAATTAATAGAAAAAGACGATATAATAAAAAATGGAGGTTTCCGCTTAAAAATTTTTTTTTAATATAATTTTATTTTCAGAGAGGACCAAATAAAGTACCTATATACGCTATGCTGGTTGTTGCTGTGGTAACGCTGACTTTCATCATTACCGGGCAAATTAATACACTCGCTCCAATCGTAACAATGCCGTTCCTGTTAACATACGCCTGCTTAGATTACGCGTACTTCGCCCTCGCGCAAACGTTTGATCTCCGGCATACGCGCGAACAACGATTCCGCACGCAGTCCCCAACATTCGATCGCAATTACGGTTCCGCAAGCAGAAACAATTCGATAACCGACGTGGACAATGATTTGGACAGTCTGTTCCCCGAGAGAATAAGGCACAAAAATCTTATGGTGGGAAATCGCATCCGCTGAAACGTGCATTCATTATTTTGAAAACTTTTCCAACAATGTTTATTAACGTTTGCAGAGAAACAACAGTATTTCCGACAATAACGTGTATGTGGATTCGTCACCGAGCATTGAGGACAATGCTAGTGTTTCCAGTACACCGGAACGGAAGGTTCACATACACAATAAGTTAGGAAACTGGTACAGCCCTTTGTGCAATAGATGGTTTTCGTTATTGGGCGTAAGTATTTATTCGTTGTGAGAGAAAGAGAGAGAGAGAAAAGAAGAGAATACTGTCTATAAATAAAATGTTAAATTTTCACGTTAGGAATTGAGAAATCTACTCCTTGAATATTTTAGTTGTACTGAAGGTTAATATTATGCACATTCATGTTGCAGTGCCTTTTAAAAGTGCTTATAATGTTTCTCGTGCACTGGGGATACGCACTCGCTAATATCGTCGTCGTATTTCTCGTCTGGAGTTACGTCGGCCACGCTAACCCTGCTGTAAAACCTGGAATTTCTGCGGAATTCCAATTCTTTAAATGGTTTCGGATTGCATTACTTCGAATTATGGGGTAAATTTAGTTATATTTACTTTACAATTCTCTTGAATCGATGAATTCAGGAATTATGAAGATTGATCTAACAGAAAATTATTTGTTCCCTTTTCCTAAGGATTACATCTGGTTAGAATATTTATAGAAAATTATGATGTAAAGATTTCCTTCCAAAGAAAATTTGTGTTTTATCATTATAGGAGGAAAGTTTATGATTACGAGCAGATAGTGGTGACTCCGGTTCATCCGGGCGTTGAAACGTGTTCGGCTCAACTGAACGAAGAGAACGAGGATTTTTCGGGAAGAAGAAGGTATCACCAAACCGCAACAGTTACTGGTCAATACGTTAATGTCGATTAAACGTATGAAATTGCGTGATCTTTCCAGAATTATAAATTGCGCGAGTTCATATACTATTCCACTAACGACGCACGTTTTTTAAGATAAGTTTTCAGTGGCGAGACCAGAGATTATATACGAACAACATATATATACTAATGGCTAATATTTAATACAATACTTGAAGACCTGATAAGCAGCAGCTTTGCCAGCAATGTTTAGGCAACTATTGTTTCCACCTCGTTTACAACATTGTCATTCGCGCAAACAGCTAGTCTAATTTATTTAATGTGTATACGCATTTCAAGTAAAGTGCAGCATAATTGCAGCTTTAAAAGCATTTTAACAATCAATGAGATATGTGGATCATATACAAAACTGATTGTATGAAACGTACAAAGAACTGATGTAATGGTAGTTTTAGATTTTTGTAAGTATTTACTTATCGCGATTGACGTACAGGCAAGCAGGGTAATCTGCTACTAAAGGTAAAATGATTTTTAACTTTACGGATATCTGAGAGAAAATTTTTCGTCTTTGTGATCTCACGTCGAGGACGGCAAGACATCCGAGTTCGTCGTGTCTCTGATGTATGATTACAATATTGAGTTTTTACGTTCACGGATAATCAAGTGATATATAACATGTACGGCAATCGCATCGTGCATAAAAATACTCTGTAAATACCTGACAATATATTTATCCACTATTTAACACTTTTATAATTCTCGTACAAATGCACGAACAAATTTGTAACTGCAGAAAGGAATATATATAGATATGTATGTATGTGTGTGTGTAAAGGAGAGGTCTAATATAATTGTCGATTTTCTTTACGAATCGTTTCGTTTCGAAATCTGCCGAAACAATTGTCAGCGAAAATAAATTAATTTTTTTATATAGAAAAATGACTATCCTTTCATAGTTGCATCGATGAAACGATAGTATTAAATTTGATCAAAGTGCACTGTCACAAAATCATTGTCATTATTGTATGAGTTTGTTCTCATCGAAAGGCTGTTGAGTGATTATTGTAACGCATCAAGGAAAAGTCACATGATATATTAACGATGAAAAGAAAAATACAAGCAGTATTCTTCCATAATTTTCATGTATACATATATATATATAACGATAATCCTACATTATAAAAATTATTTTACAGCAATCAGAATATATTTCTTCCTATTGCGAAGATTGTTCCATTCCATTACTGCGATCTTTACCCTACGGACGAGACTATTAGATCAGCGACGTCCGGATCTTGACAGAGGACAGACAGCTGCATCGTAACTTGCACTCCGCTCAGCGCCAATCTAGCACGTGCCAATACTTCCTTTCCTCCACGGAAGACGCCACTTAGGAGCAAATTGTGAGCCGCCGCTCCGCTCTGTACCTTGTTACTGCGTTCCACAGCTTCCAAGCCCAAGAATCCCGTAAGACTCTGAATCGCTCCTTCCAAAGACGTCACCGATGCCCCCAGGGCGAATGTCTCCTCTAGCTTGACAAAGCTTTTCGCGGCGAATGTATCCCAAGCGGTATTAAAGTCCATGCCTCTGTTACCAACGCCGCGTACTTGATCAGCTAGAGTCACTTCTAAATCCTCCAACTAAAAAGATATCACACTTGTACGTAAAGCAACGTCAATTGTGCGAGTAATACTTTTGTTAGTATAAGAAGTATCTAACAAACGTATTCTCTTCTATCATAAGATTTCGAAAATTATATTAATTTGGTGTAATTGCTCGTTAAAACTGATCTTTTACCATATATTCATCATGGTATCCTTGATCCGCGTCTGGTATTCCCGTCGTTGGATCGCAGTCCCTTGCCATAAATCGAAGCGTCGTGGGAATGGTGGCGACGCTCGCGTGTACATCGTCCGGGTACTTTAATACTGTGTAGGTAGTTCCCGGCTCGTTGTAAGGTAATCGCGGACACGGTACAACGCACACAATGGAGTAGCTGAAACAAACGGCTCGTTGTTAACATCTGTCGTAAAAAAAGCAAAGGAGTAACGTACACATATGTATACAATAAATGCGCCGAGATAAATGTATTTACCCTTCGGAGGGCTCAACGGCCACTACCACATCTTCGAGGAGCTGATCGGAGAGCGTGTTCACACAGTCGAACTGCAATATAAGATACTCAGGGAATGTGTGCTTGACGCATTTGACATTATATTCCGTCTCGGACTCGGTTAATTCGAACACCGGCGAGGACTTGAGGAGCGACGTGTCTCGGGTGATCATGGCCAAATGCGGGATCTGCGACAATTTCTCCATAAAGCTCTCCTCTCTGGTCAAGCGAGGTTGCTTGATAGTAGTGTGCACCTCCACCTGGACCGGTTCTTCTACTGTCTGAGCTGGAGGTATCTGTAATTCAGTAATGTGAACATAAATTGTACGTTTTAAATCGACCGGAGGCTTCCAGGGAAAAAAAGGTAGAGGAAAGTCCCCTATTATGATATAGCAAGTCTCCAACATCTAAATTCAATCGCAAATCTTTATCCGCGACGATTACACGATCTAACAATAAATTTACGATGGAACAAACAGAAGATGCCTGTTAATTTAGCAGAAATCCCGCTATCTCATATTGGGAGCTTATCTCGTAATAGGGGGGGGGGGACTTTCCTCTACAAGTAACAATTATTTCTTCACAAGTGAGTTCCTCGCAGTCGAGACACGATACCTGCGAGATGTCGAACGATTCCTCCATGGGTGTCTGCATGTAATTCCGCAAGGCCCGTTCCAGCGTCGGCACCGACAGCAGGGGCGGCTGCACCAGCGGCAATATAGTCGGGTCGCTCTGCTGTTGCAAAATCGTGCAGTAGTAGGCCGCGCGGTCGCGTACCTCGTCGTCCGAGTCCAGCTGGCAGCGCGAGAGCAGCACCAGCACGTTCGGGAGCAAGGGCGGACAGGCGGCGGCGAAGCGCGCCAACGCGGTGACGGCCGCCGCCCGCACGCTGGCGCTCTCGAGGATGACGCGGTTGTAGATGAAGCGGATGTACCTCGACGGCTGCTTGGACGTGGGGCCCTCCTGGCCGAGCAGGTGCAGGATGCGAACGGCGAGGGAGATGTGCTCGCAGTCCTCGATGAATTCGCAGAGATGCGCGAGCCCCGCCTCCTTCGCCTCCGCGTTCCCCTCCATCACGGCGATGATGGTGTCGGCGATCGCTGCCTTGTACTCGAGCCCGCCCTCGTCTCTCAGCATAGCCGACAGGAAGTTCATCAAGACCGCGTGCTTGCGGGGGAACTTTTGGCACAGAGCCCTGAAAGAGAAAAAGAAAGAGTTTAGAAAGAAAGAAAAAAGAAAAACACGCTGCGCGCACGTTGGCGAAATTGTTGCAACTCGCGAGATCAAGTTACCTGATGGCCTGGACCACCACGACCTTGAATTCGTCCGAGATCTCCGACACGAAGGTGGCGATCTGCTTCATCAGGCGGTCGACGGAACTCTCCGCGCCGGTCTTCAAGAGAGTAGTTATCGCCAGAGTGGCGATGGACCTGTTCGAGTCCGTGATAAGATTCTCCAGGTCCAGGTTGCAGGCGGTGACCGCCGCCGGATGGGACATCGCGACCTTGTTGAGGGTCCTGACCGCGGCGAACCGGAGCGCCGGTTTCGGCGAGCCGCAGAAGAGCTGCAGGACGCTGATCGCGGGCCCGATCTCGCGGGCGCCGCTACGCCCGAGGTTGACCAGGGCGTGCGCCGCCTCGTACACCACCATCTCGGATTTGTGGCGCAGGCAGGACTCGATGAAGCCCACGAGCTCCTCGCCCTCGTCCACCTCGTCCAGCAACTTGTACGCCATCCTGATGAGCATGCACGCCGCGTACGGGCTCTTCGGGCTCGTCTTCATGAGCTTGGCGACCAGCTTGATCACCGCGTGCTTGTCCGCCTTACGCGCCTGATACAGGACGCCCAGGGCGTGATACTGCACCATAACATTGTTGGAGTTTAACGCCTCCTGCGCCTCGTTCGCCCACCTCCTCGCGACGTCGCTCGACACGCTCGTCAGGTGCAAAGAGGAGACGAGGGCGGCGCTGGACACGGCCGGCGAGCGGTCGACTATGGCCTGCTTCATGTAACGCTCGATGGCCGCCAGCATGCTGCCGTCGGTGATGGTGCAGAGCGCCCGGATGGCGGCGGCCCTGTACAGATCCTCCTTGCCCGTCATGTCCTTGGTCAGACTGGACGTGACTATGATCACGTCCTCGGCCAGCGAGCTCAGTTCCTTGATGCCCAGGTAGACCAGCCGTCTCAGTATAACGTCGCGAGACTGGAACAGCTTGGTCATGGCGAAGAAGGCCTCCGTCGCCTCCGTCGTGCCCAACTGCTCGCCCTGATTCAGCAGGTACAGGATCTTTGTGAGAATGTGGGCGCATTTTCTCGGGTTCACCGGCGTGTTGTTAAACGTACGCGCCTCCTGCAGCACCGTGGTCTTCTCCAGGTTCTGGAACGGGTTCCCGCCGCCTGCGACGGGACAGAAAGGGCGTGTGTCAGTGCTCGACGGCGTTTCGCCCGGCGCGCTAAATTCCAATAACGATTCGCTAACGCGTGCAACGCTCGGAAATGTACGTTCGTGGGAAATTGCCAGGAAACCCCGGCGTACTCCGCAGCTTATCATCGACGTCTAAAAATGTGTTTACTTTGTTGTAATTGTCAGATGTTACCCCGATAACCTGCGCGCGACTTTTGACTCTCGCTACGAGCAACGCCCGCGTTAAAAACGGCAGGAATATTGTATTCATAATTACCGTCCTCCTCCTCCTTCTTGTCGCGCTTAAACGTAATCATGTCTCACTGCTAATAAAATCTTGACAGGCGAAAAGATATCGCGTACACGTCAGCTCGACGTGTTCTAGACGGCCATTGCGCTGTCTTCCGCTAGCTCCCCGACCTTCCCGCGGAGCGCGAAGAAAAAATAAAGGTCGACGAGCGAGTTACGTTCGTCTCGCGAAAACGTAGTTGCCGATGAGATATTATTGAAAATCTCGCGTCGACACTGGACAATTTTTTTTTTCAAATTAAATGAAACCATTAGAATCCGAAAGTGAAGAAATCGACATTATCGACCGTCGGTAAGAAGAGCCTAAAGTATCTTTTTTTACCGAAAGATGGATTACCGACCGAAACTGTAGCCGCAATTACCCGAGCA